TCCGGAACTAGTGTTGCTTTATGTGTCGGGCCCCGGAAACCCTCCTTAAGAACCAACCCACCCCTCCCCCACCGAGATTCGGGGGGACAAACTTTTGAAACCACCCCCAATTCGGTGGTTTTTCGGGAGGTTCCTTGGGTTGTTCCAGGGAGCTCCCACGCCGGTCTCCAGGGGACGGTGGAACAGGGACCGGATGGGGTGTGAGAGCAGGTGCGGGAGGGCGCGAGGGCCACATGCGAACCCTACCCCTGCCCCCCACGAAGTGAACCCCACCCTCCCCCTCAAAAACTCGTGGGGGGTCGGGGTAGGGTTCGCAGGTGGCCCCCTTAAGGGCGCGAGGGCCCCGACGGGGAGGGCAGGAAGGAACACTGCAGGGCTGGGCGGGGCCTCCCCCGCGAGGCCCGAGCATTGCCACGGCCCTGAGCGAGCGCCTGGCGCTGAGCTGCGAGCTGACGCCTCCCGAGGAGTGCCCTGCGCATGGTTCGGAGGGCAGGTGGTGCTCGGTAAGGTTGGCGGCTGCGTTGGTGCAGCCTGCCTCCAGTGTTGCGCGTGTGCTTGCTGTCGGTCCTCCTCTGCCTCTTCGAGCGATGCGGAGCTGGGAACTCTCGAGGTCCGGAGCTTTCTGGCTGCCCCCCCTGCGGGGGCGAACTCGAGGGCCAGTCTTGCGAAGGATGCTTCGATGAGCCAGATCTCCTGTACCTGTTTCTCTGCACTGTTTTTTCTTGAGTCCAGCCTTGGTCGAGAGCAGAGAGGTTGTGCGCAAGCTAGGCCAGATTCTGCTCAGACACTCTGTCTATATTTCGCGAAGCGTTTGGGAAGCTGGGAGGGCAATTCATGACGTCAGCCCGTGAAGTCACCCCGTGGATCGGGCTGACTTCACGCAGCCCCCCCCCCCGCAGCCGCCGCATGGGGTGGTGCTTGAAGTTGGCCCGTGGTCCACGTGGACGTGAATCAGCTCCCAGGGGCCTCCAGGGACCAGGTCCCTAGAGGTCCCGGATGCTGGACGCTCGCTCCTTTGGAGGCTCCAATTCAAGGTGGCGTCCAGGGAGCATGTGGAAGCCCTGACTCCGGAAGCTTAAAATGGAGGAAATGAGCTTCCGTGGAGCTTCTGGAGGCCACCGTTGGGCGCCCCTTGACCTGCCAGGGCGCCAGAGCCTCCCCCGCGGGGTCGCGCACGGTCGCGCAGGGTCACCGGGCGAGGAGGGCATGTACCTCCACCCGCCCAAGGCAGCCTCCAGAGTGCCTCATCGGGTCCTCCTGGGCGGAGCGCTGCGAGGGTGTCCCCAGATGTCCCCAGGGAGGCTCCGCAGGCGTCTCGCGAGGCCCGTTCCTGAGAGGAGCTGTCCTGCAGGCTCCGCGGCAGACGACGTGCCAGGACGGTCTCTGGGAGGGGTCCTGAGAGCATGCGGCACGATCGCTCTGCCTCGATGCGGCGGCTGCGCTGGCGCGTCGGAGGTGGAACATTCTCTCGGGGCCCGTGTCGGACCTCGGGGCTCGCAAAGAGAGATCCCAGCCCTGCAAAAGGTGGTGGTCGAAGCCTCTGGAGGCCCGAAGCTTGGGCAGCGGAGGTGGTTCAGCCTTGGCGTGTTCAGGCAGTGTCAGAAACCAGGGCCCACGTCAACAAGGCTTGCCCTTGTCACTGGCAGGGGCACGACTTTTTCTCCGCTGCGGGCTTGCAGGAGCTCCTCCTGCGCCACAGCCCCGACGGCACCGTCACGCTGACGTGGTTCTACAACGAGCAGCTGTTGGAGCAGCTGGAGAACCCGAACCACCCCCTGCGGCGGCTGTCCTTCGAAATCCGCCAGCAGTCGGAGGGCACCAACGGGCGCCTGAGATCTCGGATGCACGTCTGCAGGCCTGGCGGCGCGGCCAATGGGAGGGGGCGGCGCGAGGGGGGCGTCCTTCGAAGAGGCCAGGGGCCTCCCCAGAAGCCCTTCTACTCCTCCCCCTCCGCATGCTCATCCCTCTCCTCCTCCTCCTCCTCATCCTCCTTCTCCGCCTTCTCCTCCTCCTCGTCCTCCTCCTCCTCCTCCTCCTCCTCCTTGTCCTCATCCTCCTTTTGGCGTTGCTCGGACTTGGTGAGCGAGCTAGCACGCAGCGTTCTGGTATGACAAACCGGCTAGGCGAAGAGGTTCAGGCAGTCCACCTGTCTGGCGCCGCAGCACGTGAAAGAAAAAGAGTGCGGTGAACAAGAGGAGATCGAGCAGGCGCCTGCCTGGTGGTACTGCTCGGCGGCCCTGGCCTCGGCATGCCACCAACCCCATCCATCGTAGTACCCCTTTTTTTTGAATGTAGGATAGCCGAGTAGGTGCAAGGCCATGCGAGTTGACCCAAACATTCCAGCTGCAAAGGAACAGTGTGCAATGTATCCCATCCACTGGCAGATGCAGGGACGGCATGCAGCTCTCACTCCCTTCTCCTCCTTTTCCCCCTCCTTTTCCCCCTCCCCCTCCTCCTCCTCCTCCTCCTCCTCCTCCTCCTCCTCCTCCTCCTCCTCCTCCTCTGGCCCTTCCAGGGAGGCCCCGGCCGTCCAAGCCGCCCCCCCGAAGTCTCAACGGGGCCCACGCCCGACGCGCTTCGGCCCCGAATTTGCGCGCGCTGCCGGGCAGGTGCCGCACGCTGTCGGACAGCGAGGAGGTCTGCGAGCAGAGCTTCGAGCTCGAGGGCTGCGTGCCCGGCAGGGCCTACGCCTTCACCGCGCGGGCGCGGGCCGAGCTCGACGGCGCGGCGAGCCCCATGTACTCCGCGTTCTCCGAGATGGTCTCGATGGGCGCCTTCTCCGGCGCCCTCGGCATCGGGACGCCGGGCGTCGCCGGCCCCCCAGACCCTGGCGACGCGAGACAATCGCTGCGGCCAGTCTGTTCTCCGTTTTCGGCCTCTGAGGGCCGCCTCTTGATCGGGATCCCCGAGGTGCCGCGTGAGGACCAAGGATGTGTCGTTGGAGGAGAAGGGAGGTGACCACGGCCCAAGGTGACCCGAGCTCTCCCAGGGAGGCCCAGATGGCCTCCACAGCACCCCCCACACCTCCCCTCTGCTCCGCCGTCGCGGTTTTTTCGCCCTGGGTATCTCGATCCTTTTCCCAGGGCTGCCTTTTCTTCCTACATGTTTCTTATGACGGACCCAGGGCCGAGAGTTAGCTTCCAGAGGCCCAGAACGTCGAAGAATCCGGCCGTCTAACTTGTTGCGGAGCTTGGATCTGAGGGTCCTTCCTGCTACCTCCCCTGTGGGGTGCGTTTTTTCTTGCTAGAAGTGCGAGGCATGTCCAGCCGCGGCGACGCGAGGCCTTCTGGAGCTCCGAGTGAGGGAAGCGCGTCCCGCCTCGATAGTCGAATGTCGATCCTCAATTCTCAATCCTCGGGTCCTCACAGAACATCGTATCAACATCTGCCTCTGGACCCCTCCCATGGTCTATCTTGGCAAGGGGTTGCACCCTGGAACAGTATTGCTCGATTGTCTTTGGCATGCGAAGCAGCCCCTCGGGCCCCCCCACCGAAACAGCTTCTCAGAAGTAGAACTTGTCGAACACCTTGATTCTTGATGCTCGAGCTTGTGTTGCGCTCTGACTCGAGGCTCGAGGCGAATCCAGCCTTGATGATCCAAGGCGACAGATGTTTACAACCTAAATCCGAAAAGCCGCCCCCCTGAGCCCCCAACAGGGTGAGAAACAAGTGAACACCTAGACCTTCGATTCCTGATATCCGACGTGCGTCGACAATAAATGCGACTGAGATGGCCCAGTACTTGTTCTGGCGAGCACGAAGGGGGTGGGCTTGGTTCGAGGTTCCGGGTTCAAGAAGGTTTGGTTTTGTTTTCGGCCTCTGGGGGCCGTTTTCTGGCCCTGGGATCGTCAAAAACAGCTCGGGGATGAAAACTATACCACATCGGCCCCGGTAGTTGTCAGTGAACCGATTTTGAGCGGATTTGTCTTCATCCCCTCTCTTGACCGATCTTCTCGGGCCTCAACCAGCTCAGACCTCCCAGCCGCCTGGGGCAGTTGACGGTGCCCGCGGGATGAGCGAGAACGTTTGGTGTGAAAACGTTTCGACGCCCAGACCCGATGGATGATCCACCCTGATGGGCGTTGCGTGTTGGGTGGGGCGACACATGGGGGGAGGGCGTTTTTCCATTCCCGTGCGATGAGGGGGGGGGCGGCGGTAAGGCCACGTTGCGCGCCAGCGCCGTCCTGGGAATGTCCAGGAGTGGCCAATGACGATCCGGACGTCAGCACGAATCGTGGCGTTGCCTGGGAGGGCTCGCGGCCAGGGCCGATCGCGGCCACCATCGCGAGCACAGCAAACGCTCGCAAGACACGTGCGCCTTTCGTGCACCTCAGGTTCCTTGAAGGGTTGTTGATGGCGGTCAATGGAGAGGAAGCGTGTTGCCAAATAGTTTCCAGATGTCTAAACAATGTTTCAAACGTGCTTTAGGTATGTGAAAAACATGTTTGACACATGTTTAGAACATGTGTTACACATTTCCAACACATTTCTGATCCAACGACAGGACTGCTAGGGTGTCCATAGTCGTGGCATCCACAAATGGAGGGGCCCCCTTCGGCGCCAAAGGTGTTTGCGGCTCTTCGCCCCCCCCGCGCACCGCCTCCCATGAAGCCACGCCCAAACCTTTCAGGAGGGAAAAGAATCACACAGACACAATTGATCGTCGACTCCCCAGAACATATGGGAAAATATGGGAAGTGGGGGGGAAGACAGAAACCCAGGAAAAATATGGGGCATCCTGTTATCTGTGCCTACTTATTTTGTGTGTCCCAGGGCCCCTTCAATGACGCAACGCCCAAACCTTCCGAGGACGGACTGCGCGGCCTCCACCGAGGGCGGCTTCAGCACCAGCGCCAGCACCCCGCGCGAGTCGGCCGCGGGCCGCCGCGAGCACTCGGCGGAGGGGGCGCCCGGCGTCGACCACGCCCTCGAGAGCGTGGACGAGGAGGTGCGCGCTGCCGCGGAGGCGACCTGGGGCCGCGCCGCGGCGGGGCCGGCCAGGACCTCGGGGTCAGGGGGCGAAGGTGTGCTGGTGCCGCTGCCCCTCCCTCGTCCCCGGCGCTGGCTTCGCCTCGAAGCTCTGGTTAGCATGCGCTCAGGGAGAGAGAGAGGCCCGTGGAGTTGCGGCTTCGGTATCGCACAGCTCCCCCATCAGCCGCGTTCTCATCTGTTGTTCGGTTTGAGCAGGATCTTTTTCGGAGACGCCTCCGGAGAGTCACCGCTGCCCCCCGCCTTCGGGAAACGCTTGCATGGTGAATTCGTCGGCTTGCAAGCGTGGCCATGCTCGAGATTTGGATGTTCCCCCAGCGCTTGGGAGCACCCTTGTGGAAGGGGAGGGGCTTCTGCTGTCATCTTGGGGCTTTCTCAGGTTTCTCAGGGCCATTGTCTGGCCATTTGGGCCTTCTTGGGGGCTTCTTGGGGGCTTCTTGGGGCACCCTGGGGCTCTCATACACCGTCTTGCGGTCCTACCTGGACCGTCTGTGGTGGTTTTTGGGGCTCTTTGGGGCGGTCTCGGGAGTCTGTTTTGCCGTCTTGGTCCTCTTGGGCTGCCTTGGAGTTGTCAGGGGGTCGTCTTGGGCCGGCTTGGGCTCCTTTGGGGGCCGTTGAAGCCGTCTTGGGGCGATATTGGGGGCCTTGGCAAGCTTGGTTTTCTGGAAGCCCGAAGAGACGAGAACGCGAAAACAAAGCTCCAACCCGAGCAGAACCAGTGATGCTAGCCTCCTGAGGGTCTTCTGGCGGTCTTTTTGGAGCTCTCTCAGGGCGTGTTGGGTTGGCTGTCCGCTCTTGCACCTGCTGTCCTTCTCACGACTCCCTCGTAGCTGGGCGTGTCAGTTTCCTGCTGCACTTGCAGTTCACGTCGAGCCTGCTTTTGCAAAGTCCGACTGATTTCACGCTCTGAGGGCCCCCTGTCGCACAAAGTCCCCTCTTCGTTTCCTCTCGTCTTATCCTCCCGCCTCTGCCGCAATTAGCGTCGCCTGTACTCCAGGGTAGCACGCCCGCAACTCGCATACGAGACGCCGCAGACCGAACAAATGCGGGGGTTTGGGGCTTCTAGGGCCATCTTGGGGCCGTATGGGGGCCATTCTGTGCCGTCTTGGTCCTTCTTGGAGCCACATCGGCCGTCCTGGAGGCGCCTTGGGCCGATTTGAGGCCCATTTGCCCACCCGTCTCGGCCCATGCCCTGGCACTGCGCTTTCCTCCCTCCTCTTCCTTCCTCTCCTTCTCCCTGCTCTGCCTCCCCTTGCGTGCCTGGCCCGTGCATGATTACGCGGCTGGCGCACGCAGCCTTCGGAAGCCCCTGAGAGTGCACCGATGCAATGCAGCCCGGCTCAAGCTGCTACAGCTGGGTGATTTCGCCGCTGAAGTCGGTTTAGGCGGTGGGCGTAGGGAACAAATGGAGCCAGGTAAAGCTGCTACAGCTGTGTGATTTCGCCGCTGAAGTCGAAGCTTAGGTGGCGGGCTCAGGGAAAACAAGGAGCAATCCCATGGGAGCCTGCATCTATGATCGCTTGGCCGGTAGACCAGTCGGGCCGTCGTTTTTTGTTCGAAGGACCAGAATTCATCCACGATGCGGCAAGCACCCTTAACGCAAAGTGAGCGGCGGTTTATGTAGGATTCGCCAGACGAGCACCCCAACACGTGGATTTGTTTTTTCCGCAGTGGCCATGCCTGTCCGCCTCGATTGGTTGCCGGGTGTACCAGTGTTGTCGGCAACGGGCCTCGCTCTAACCTCTTGGAGTCAGTTGGGACTTCTTTCGGGGGTCTCTTGGGAGGCCTCTCGGGGACATCGTGGAGGCCTATTGCGCTCCGCTTGGGGGCTTATCAGGGTTTCTAGGGTCCTCGTGGGAGCTTATTATTGTGGCATCTCCCGACAAGTACGACGGTTCCTTCGATTGCACCGCATCACTTGGCGAGGTGGTCTCCCTCGCGGTCTGCCAGGTCCTTCCCGAGGGCAGTTCGCGGCACAGGCCCTTGACGTCGCGGGCGCCATTGATGCTCGCCGTGCAGGCCTTCAGGCGGGCCCGGTAAGATGACGACGCTGCTGGAGCACTCGTACAACCATCTTAGAACCAAGCAGGAGCCGTGTGAATCCATTGGGTTTCGTCGACTTGCAGCGTCGGAGCCATCGTGGAACCAAACGTGAACCCACAGGGACCTTTTGTTGGAATCATATGGCTTCGCCTATTTTGCAACTTCGGAACCATCGGGGAACCAAGGCGGAACCAGTGCGTCCAGACGCCAGACCCTATAAAACGACAGGGATCGACGTGGGCGACTTCGCCGTCCCTCCTCTTTTTGATGCAGCCGCGGCGCTCCGCCCCAGATCGCGGGGGGGGGGGCGGGGGAGCGCCTCGTATCTGAATCATGAGAGGGCCGCTTGGCCCCCGGCACCCCCGTGCTCGGGACCACCACCCCCGCCGACGACCGGGCGCCCAAGCCTGGCCTCGAGCCCGGCAACCTCTCGTCGCCCCCCCCCCCGCCCCTTGCCCCCCGCCCCTGGACCCCCCTCTTCCTCCCAGGAATTCGATCGGAGGAAACGATTACTTCTCTGTCGGGGGCCTGTTGGCGGTATTGAGGGCAACTTTTGGGGGAAATGGCTCGAGCTGTCAGTTCGACGTGTTCCTCTTGGGGCCTTCTCTGGGGCCTCCTGGGGCCTTTCGGGGGCCGTCTGAGTGCCACCTTCGGGGCTTCTTGGGCCGTCAGGGGCTCTCTTCAGATTATCACCCAACCACCTAAGGTTTTCATGATTCAACTTGACCGTCCATTCCACACTACACCCCCGAAGCATTGGGAAAATCATTCGGTGATTCCCATAGTGCCGAGCGGCTGTGACTCCGGGCCCTAGGACCCTTGCAAAGTGTTACAATGATGCGGACAACTCGAACATCATGTGAGTTGATTTCATATAATATAGCCGGCGACCAGGTCCCCGGGTTTTGCCCCCCGACCTTTTTCCAAAATTCCCCCCCCCCCCCCCGTATCCCCTTCGCATTAACCTTTAGTCCCTGGGGCCGGCGGGCTCTTGTCAGCGCTCCGAGCGATTTTCCGGGCCACCAGGACGGCCCCAGTGGGCGCCAAGAGGATGCCAGAATGGACTAACCTGGCCCGAGAGGCTCCTGGATGGCCACGGGCTGGCCAGAAGAGACCCCAAGGACCACGCGAGCGGGTCCAACAAGGCCCGCGAAAGGACATCGAGCGGCAAACCTTGTTGATGTCCCATTGGTTTGTTCAAGAATTCTGGCTCCAAGTGGTTACCAAGAGGACCCAAACTTGCAAAACAAGTTGAACACGTTTAAAGAAAACGATTCGTGTTTCCAGATCTCGCGGTTTCGCTTCCGATGGGCTTCTGAGGCTTCTGGATGGTCGTCAAGTGGCCCGAGCGTGCCTCAAAAGGATCTCCACGATGCCACAAGACGGCCCCAAGAGCGCTCCACAGTCTCCCAAGACGGCCCCGACGACGGGCCAAAAACGCCCCAGAGGAGGCCGAGGGAGCCCCAAGGCCCAAGATGGTCGACCAGGCCCCTGGGACCCTTCAAGATGGTTCCAAGGTGGCCCAAGATTGGCTTTAAGACGGCCCTCGAGGTCGCCAGGACGGCCCAATATGGCATCCACATGGCCAAGACAGCTCAAGATGGCCCCCAGACAGCCCCAAGACGCTCCCAAGAGGCTCCCAAGTGGCCTCCTAGAGGCCCCCAGGAAGCCCCCCCCGCAACAACCAACGGAAAATCATGGGCTTCTGAAGACCTGGACATGCATGCGTGCATGTATGCATGTATGTATGCATGCATGCATGCGTACATGTCTATGTATGAAAGAGCGCGTTTTGTGGTCGCTTGGAGGGGGCGGTGGGGGGTGGACCCCCCCTTCCCCTACGCATTTTTCCTCCCTCTCCTCGGGCCGGCGCCGGCGTCGACGGCGGCTGGCGGCGGCGGCGGGGGTGCTGGTGGTGGTGGTAGTGGCGGTGGTGGTGGTGGTGGTGGTGAGGTGGTTTGTGGTGGTTGTGGTGGTGGTGGTGGTGTGTTGTGCTGCTGGTAGTAGTGGTGGTGGTTGTGGCGGTGGTGGTGGTGGTATGGTAGATTGTAGTGATGGTGTTGGTAGTGGAGGTGGGTTCTTGGATTGGTGGTGGTGGTGAGCTGTAGTGGTGGTGGTGGTGGCTGTAGTGGTGGTGGTCGTGTGGTGGTTTGGTGGTGGTGGTTGTGGGTTGAGGTGGTGATGGTGGTGGTCGTGTTGGTGGCGGTGGTGGTGGTGGCGTGGTGGTTTGTGGTGGTGGTGGTGGCGGGCTGTTGTGTTGGTGGTGGTGGTGCTGCTGGTAGTGGTGTTGGTGGTGGTAGTGGGTGGTGGGTGGTTGGTGGTGGTGGTGGTGGTTGTGGTGGTGGTTGTGGTGGTTTGTGGTGATGGTGGTGTTGGTGGGGGGTTGTGGTGATGGTGGTGGTTGTGGCGGTGGTGGTGACGGTTGTGGTAATGGTGTGGTGGTTTGTGGTGGTGGTGGTGGTTGTGGTGGGTTGTGGTAGGTTGTGGTGGTGCTGGTGATGGTGGCGTTTTGTGGTGGTGGTGGTGGTGAGGTGGTTTGTGGTGATGGTGGTGGTTATGGTGATGGTGGGTTGTGGCGGTTGTGGTGGTGGATGTGGTGGTGGTGGTGGTGGTGGTGGTATAGTGGTCTGTGGTGGCGGTGGTGGTGGTGGTGGTGGTGGGCGTGGCCTTCGGCTCTTCCCGCAAATGTGTTTTGGCAAAAGCTCAGAGTCCTAATGGATGCCTCTTGAGGTCTCGTCAGAAGGGTCTGGGCGGCGTCTAGGGAGCATGCGAGGGCTCGATATGGCGATTTGTGTGTTCCCTCTGCGGCCTCTGGGCCCTCTTTGATCATCGTCGCTGCGTCCCCGCCGTCGGCGCTGCTGGCCGCCGCCAGAGCCGGCGCCGCAGCGCCAACGCAAAGGGTCCAACACCCCCGCCCCTCCCAGAGGGGGGGATTTGGACCCCCTCCCCTTTGGGAGGGGAGGGGAGGGGGTTAAGGAGGGGGGGGGGGTAGGGGGGAGGGGAGTTCCCCTGGTTCTGATCGACGGCGCCGAGTGTTGGAGGGGGGCCCACCTCCCCGTTCGAAACGCGCCGCCGAATTTTCCCAAGGCAAGCCCCCGTGAAACGCATTCTCTTCTTTGTATGGATGTGTGTATGTATATATGTACGTACATACGTACGTATGTATGTGTGTGTGTGTGTGCAGATATGTATGCATGTATGCACTGATGTATGCATTTGCGTATGGTCGGTTGTTTGCTTGTTTGTATGCATGCACACATGCATGCATGCGTACATGCATGCATTCATGTATGTATGTAACTGTGCATGCATCTATATATATATGCATGAATGTGTATGGATGTACGTACGTATGCATTGATGTATGCCTGCCTGCCTGCCTGCATGTACGTCTGTTTGCATGTGTGCATGGATGTGTGTATACAGGTGTGTATGGACACATGTATTTATGCATGCGCATGTATGTGCCCATGAATGCATGCATGCATGTGTGCATGCACTCATATATGCATGCATTCATATATGTAGGTATGTACGTCTGTATGTGCGTATGTGTGTATATACGTATGCGAACATGTATGCATACATGTTGTCCTATGCATGTATTGTTGTTCGTGCGCATGCACTCATGCTTGCGTGCGTGCATGCAGGTGTGTACGTATGTAGGTATGCATGTATGTACGCATGACGGTACGTAATGCTGTATGTATTTATGTATGTATGGATGTGCGTGCGTACGTATGCATTGATGTGTGCATGCCTTTATGTATGCATGCACGCATGTCTGCATGCAAGCAGGTTTGCCTGCGTACGATGATGTATGTATGCATGTGTGTATCGTTGCACATATGTATGTGTAGGTATGTATACATGCATTCATGTTTGTGTGCATGCATGTATGTACGTACGTACGTACGTGTATATATATCTGCGTGTATGTATACATGCATGTATGCATGGTTGGCTGGTTGTTTGCTTGTTCGTACGCATGCACATTCATGCATGCGTACATGCATGTATGCATACATGCACTGGTGTATATATGTATGGCTGCATGTATGTATGTCTACATGTATGCTCGTATTTCTGTATAGATGTACGTCCGTACGTATGCATTGATGCATGCATGCATGCCTGCATGTATGTGTGTTTGCAGGTGTGCACTGATGTACGTATGCATGTGTGTAGGTATACATGCATGCATACATCTGCATGTCTGTATCGTTGCGCGCATGCATACATGCACGTATGTATGTATGAATGTATGCATGTAATGTAATGTAATGTAATGTAATGGAATGGAATGTAATGCAATGCAATGTACTGCAACGCGCTGTAATAGTTGTATGTGTGAATGTACACGTACACATATAGTCGTATGCCGGTTATACTTTCCAGAGGCCTCAGTATGCTTCTGAGAACCTGGGAGGGCCTCCTCGGGGACTTCCCTCTCCTCCCACGTTACATTTTTTGCGACGTGGACCCCAAGCATCGTCCCATTCGCTGTGGCATTTTTTGCTCAGCTTTCGCTGCATTTTCGACGGCCCTGGGTCCGAGAAACGGCCGTCAGAGGCCGAGAACGTGAAGTCTTCGATCATCCAGCTCTGAGGGCCCAGGCCCACCTCGGGCTCAACTAGGTCGGTACTATGTGCACCCTCCTGGCCAGGGCAGGGACCGAGGTTGGGCGCGCCAGTTCGCCCATCCTGGGCCCAGCTGGTCGGGCCAGCATCCCCGGGGCCCCCAGACGGGGACCGAGCAGGCGGGGCCAGAGGGCGGCGCCACATCGCCAGTGCCTCGGCAGTGCGGCTCGGTGTGGAGCCCGATTTCTCCATGCCGATGTCGGCGATTCATCAGCATCGCCGATGCATTCGTGATGCGTCGACGGTGCGGCGCGATCCTCCGACCCCATCTGCTCTGACCCCATCTGGGATGCCTTTAAAAGCACCCCGCGTTGAGGATGAGCCTCCGAGTCGGGGCGCACGTGATAGGGGTGAGCGCGAAGGGGGGTGAGGCCAGCCAGCCGCCGCCGATGCCCCCTGGCTGACCCCCGTTTGGAAGCCACGTGGGGCCGGCCCCCCCTGCCCGCCCTCCGCCGACCCGGGCTGGGGGGCGTCAGTGGCGGACGTGGCAGCGCAGAAGCGCGAACGGCACAAACATAAGCTTTGAGAGATCCGCGAGGATATCTTGGGTCGGCGCTGACGCCACGGTTTTTTTTTTTTTTTTTTTTTTTTTTTTTTTTTCCTGGCGCTGATTCTGGCTGGCTTCACGTTCCAGAGGGGTGCGTTTATGCGAGGTTCCAACACATCTGCTCGGATTTACGAATGCTCATGTTAGTGTATATGTTTGCTTTTTTGTTCGAAGACGCTTGCATCGAGTCACCGCCGCCCCCTTATGCCTGGAAGCGCCTTTGTTGCCAAACATTGCGGCCATAGCTGAGCAAAGCTATCAGACTGTGTTCCCCCATCCGTTGTGGAAACCCTTCGGGGAGAACGAGGGAGGGAAAGAAGAAACGGATGAGGGGGTGGTAAAAGTTGGAGGAAGAGGAAGAGGAGGGAGAGGCCGCTTGGGAACCTCTTGGGGCACTGTGCCTCCTGGGAGCTTCCTCGAAGCCTCTTCGAGCACTCTTGGGGGCTTCCTTGGGCGTCTTGGGGGCCTTCGGAGGTTCCTTGATTGGGAGGCTCTTTGGCCGTCTGACGGGCGTTTCTGGCTCGTCCGACTGCGTCGTAAGCCGTCTTGGGGTCCTTTGCGCCGATTTGGGATCCTCTTGGGCCGCCAGGGGGCCATCTTGGAGGCCTCTTGGGCGCTCTTGGGACCATCTTGGTGGCCTCTGGGACCGTCGGAAAGCCGAAAATGAACAAACGCCCAAATCCTCCCAAAACCTCCAGACAATCAATGATTTTGGCCTCTTCGGGCCTTCATGTAGGTCCTCTCGGAGGCCTCTTGGGTCATCTTGGGGGCATCTCGGCCCGTTCGGACACATTATGGGTCCGTCTGGGCACTCTCGGGGCCACCTTTTCGGTCTTTGAGAGCATCTTGGCCGTCTTGAAGTCCATCTTGGGGCCGTCTGGAGCCGGACAACCGACGACCTGGGCAATCTATGGTTTTTTTGGTTCGAGATGGAGGGACCCGCGGGAGAGCTCTTTCATGCGCCCAGCCGGGTGGCCGGCGCATTCGGCCGACGCCTCGCTGGCAATTTGTAAAGGCTCCAGAACATACAGATGACACCAGAGAAAAACCGATCAGCGGATGGTTTGGAACATTTGGTGAGCGATCATGAGATCGATGGTGAGCTCGCTCGCGGGATCCCGAAGTCGGCCCAGAGCCAGCGAGCGGGAACCCATGAACCGGGAACCCGGGAACCCAGCCAGCTACCGAAATCGGTCCGGGGTTTTCGCCGATTCTTTCAAGATCCGTTACGACCTTTTCAGTGCATGCACAGATTCGGGAAAAATCTGGCGCGCCGTGCACTGTGGCAAGCCGCAGGGGTCGGCGGATCTAGTGGCTTTGGGCATTTCCCGCCACCGTGTCTGGGTGGTGTGTTGGATGTCTTCTGGATGCATCTTGGGGTTTCTTTCAAGTCGGGCCTGTCCCTCCACAGGGGGACTCTTCAAAAATAATAACAAATTATTTTGGGACTATTTTTTGAATATTTGTTGGTATCTTTTGAGTGTTTTTTGAGTATTTTTCATTTTTCGTCCAAAGTCCCCCTGTAGGGGGACAGGCCCGTCCCAAGGTTTCTTGGGATACCTCTCGGGGGCATGCTGGAGGGCTCTTCTTGGGGATCTCTTGTGGGTTTAGTGGCGCCCTCTTGGGGCCTCTTAGGATCCTCTCTTGGGGGCTTTTTGTTGACCTCTTTAGGGGCGTTCGGAGTGTTCGGGAGTCACCTTCGCGCTTCCCCTCTCTGCGCGCTCTCGGGGTCGTCTTGGCGGCCTCTTCGCGACGTCTTAGAGCCTCCTGGGCCGTCTCGGGGCACTCTTGGGCTGGGATGGGGCGGGCTCGGTGTCCCCTTGTGCCGAGTTCTGGCGCTGGAAGTCCGAAAACGCGAGAACAGTCGAGCAATGCAACCACCTCAGTAAAATCAATGAAGCGCGCGGTATCCGCACTTCCCATCCTTATGAATCATGTTGCCTGTGTCGCTGGCTCCCCTCTCCGAGGATACGGTTGCAGCAGGCGGAGGATGAGGCCCGCCGGAGCGCCGAGGAGGCTGTGCAGAAGGAGGAGCAGGCCATCGGTCGAGTACAGTCGGGGCGCTGAAGAAGGAACTGTTTTCGGAGAGGGGCTCGGTGTTCCTTAATTGATTTACAGTTTGCCTCAGGTTTTCCCGAAGTTTTCCATGTGAAGACGAAGTTTAGCTTATGGGGAAAAGTGGCCTCGTTCCTTATTTAGGGCTCCATAGGTCAACGCTCCGACGGCAGGAGATCGAATACAGAATTGATTTGCCCCAGAATCGGAGTTCGCGCCGAATCTACAGAATCATACGTAGACTGGCAGTGGATCGACGATCACTGCTTATACTTTTCCCGGACAGTGCTTGCACTCAGGGTTTCTCACATCCGTGTCTTTGGTCTGGCGACTATGTGGCGGCCCCGTCGCCGCCTCGTCACCGCCCGTCGTCTGGGCCGTGTCTTCGGTCTTGCGGCTGTGTGGCCGCCGTCGCTGCCTCGTCGCCGCCTCGTCTCCGCCCGTCGTCCGTGCTTGTCTGCCGGTCTGGCGGCTGTGTGGCCGCCGCCGCCGCTCTGTCGCCGCTTCGTCGCCGCACTACATCGCACAACGTGTATTTTCTTTTCTAAGAAGAGAAAAGACTCTACCCTGGGATGATCTGTACCCTTCTTCGCATTGCAATTTACATGGGATTCTCAATCGTCCAACCGAAATATGAATTCATACCATTCCAGCCTAAAAGGTATCGACCCCCTCGCCATCTTTTGCAACACATGCTGTGCGCGCACACTCGTTGATCGAAAATCTTCAGTTTTCACGACTCTTGGAACAATGAGGCGATTTGCGCACGCGCGCGTCGTCGCGCGCGCATGCCAGATTCCTTCAAAAACCTAGGTGTTGTAAGGATTCCAAATTCGAGTGTCCAAAGCACGAGTAACAACACAGGGCTTCGGATTTCCCCAACGAATTTGCGCGCACGCTCTTGCGAAGTCTTGAGAACACCATCGGCTTATTCGACATGTTCATAACATGCAACCAAACGGGTTTCGCGCGCATGTCGAAATCGTTCGAACGCCGTTGCGCGCTTGCTGGGGTGGCACGATCCGTGTAAAGCATATCATTCGGGTCACTCTCGCGTCTGCCGCGCGCGCATTTCGAATTCGTTCCAAAACCTTCATCACCAACGCGAAGACGCCGTCATCGTCGTCGGCGTGATCAGCATCGGCGCCGCCAGACGCTGCCCGTCGCAGTCAGCATCTTCACCACCATCGCTACTATCATCATCGTGTCTACCGCTGTCGGCGCTGCCATGATACGGCGCCCGCCCAAGTCGACGATTCGCATTGAAGTGCCCGCCGGGATGTGCCGAGTGGTCATCGACACCGCGTTCGCGTCGGCCGCGCCGAACTAGTTGGCCGCTGCGCGCGCGTGCTTGGGTTGGCGCGGCCGCAGAGATACACCAGCCAACGCCAAGCATGCATCGCAATCGCCACCGCATTGGTTTTGCACACCAACTTGCGGATGGGTGGGTGGGATGTCTGCAAGAGTATGGGATGTGCCAGATCGCTTGTTAAAATCAATTGCGCCGCTTCGTTTGCACCAGACAGCTTGCACAACATATATATAGGTATATATACATATACAAGACTGCGTTGGCGCTGCGTGCCATGCACCTGGGTCCTTTGGAATTCGCACGCAAGCGGAGTGCGAGCGTGCGTACAATCGCGCACACATTCGTCTATGAATGCATAGTACAGATGTACATATATGTATACGTTTGTATGGATATGTACATGTATATACACATGGTCGGTGTAACTATGTGTGCGCATACTCATGCGTATACCAGGCGGTAGTGGCCTGACCAGTTGCTCATATCATCGCGCAACTAAAAGGCGCGAGGGTCTCAGGCAAACGTGGCCAGACTACCATGGGACAGTGCGTCGCCGAGGTCAGTGTTGCGAGGGGTGAAAATGGCCTGAGCACCTCCGCTCAGGGGAGGGCATATCCGAAGTCAGCCGTGCGAGGAAGTTTCAAACGAGGAGTGGTCTGAACACCTCTGCTCAGGGCATCCTTGAAATTTAGAGTTGCGAGAAGTCGCGCGCGAAAGTGGCCGAACCACCATGGTGCAAGGCACCTCCGAAGTGAGACTTGCGAGAGCGTCTCAGGCGACAGTGGCTGGAACACCTCAACTGAGAGTGTATCGGGCCCCAGAGTTGCGATGCTGTCCCAAGCGAAAACGGCGGGACCGATGCGAAGCAAGGCGCTTCTGAGGTCGGAGTTGCGAGCATATCTTTGGCGAAGCGGATTAGACTACTCTCCGTTATCTCCTCTTCCTCCTGCCCCTTTTCTTTTCCTTTCCTCCTCCTCCCCCTCCTCTTCCTCCTGTTCCTCGTCCTGTTCCCCCTCCTCTTCCTCTCCCCCCTCTCCGCTTCTTTTTTTGTCCATTCTCCCCATCCCTGGCGGCGCGGCGCGGTGCCGTTCGGCCTCTTTGCGAGTCAAGCGGCAAAGGGTGAGAGACCCCCCCCGAATTAGGAGGAGGAGGAAGAGGAGGAGGACGTTGCAAGTGTTCGCGCGGCCGTGAGTCCCCGGAGAGTGTTTCCCCAGGGTGTGTGCTGAAACCGAAGGTTCCCGACGGCCTGATCTCCGAAATGTCACAAAAACCCTGGTTCCCCACAGCGCGTCCGGATGAGATGGCGTCGTGGGCCCGACGGTTTGTATTGGGTGTTGCGAGAAGCTCAGTCGAGGCGGGGGGAGGAACATGAAGAGGATGAGGAGAAGGAGGAGGAGGAAGAGGAGGAGGATGAAGAGGAGGAAGAGGATGAAGAGGACAGTGCATGTGGATATCTGGGGTGCAGCCGAAATGTCGCGGAAGAAATCCGCATCAGAGTCTTGGGAGAGTGAGGAGAGCTGCTTCTGCTAGACCTTTGGCGGGGCGGAACGTGAAATGTCACGGGGAAGTAGGAGAAGGATGAGGAGGAGGAGGTAGAGGAGGAAGAGAATGAGGAAGAGGAGGAGGAGGAGGAGGAGGAGGAACTCTTGGGTCTTTCGGCCGCGCCATTTGATGCGACGACGACGACGACGAAGAAGGCGACGACAAAGAGAAGGGATAATGAGAGGGGGAGACCGCTGTGTTGGGATCTCGTGGTGCGCCTCTCGGGGCCCTCTGGGAGGCAGTTTTGAAGCCTCTTGGGGGCGTTTTGGGGTTCCTGGGATTTTTTTGGGGGGGCCTCTTGGGGGCCTCTTGGGGGCTCATTTGGGGCCTCCTGGGAGCCTCTTGGGGCCTCGTGGGGCTCTTTCCGGGCCTCTTGGGGCCCTCTCGCGGCGGAAAATTGAGTTTTTAAATTTTTGGGCGCCCTCTTGGGCATCTCTTGGGGCCGTCTTGGTGCTCTATTGGGCCGTCTTGGGCGCCTCTTGGGCGGTCTCGGAGCCCTCCTGGACCGCGTCGGGGCCTTTTTGGGGGCCTCGTGGGCAATACTGGGGCGATCCAGGGGGCCTCTAGGGCCATTGCGGAGCGTCGGGAAGCTGGAAAAGCGAGAAGGCCAACAACATCGAAAACCACACAGGCAAATCAACAATTGTAGCCTCTCGGGGCTCTCTTGGGAGGTCTCTCGGGGGTCCCTGGGGGCGTCTTGGACGCGTCTTGGGCAGTCTTGGGCCCAGATTGGGGTCTTGGGCCGATCTTTGGGTGTCTCGGGGCCCTCTTTGGCCGTCGTGGGGACTCTTTTTTTTTTCGCGTCGCACTCGCAGGACAGACACGGAGCACTCTGCAGGATCGCCCCAAAGGCTCGGGGAGGCCGATTTTTTTTTGTTGGGGGGGGGTGGGTGGGCACCGTGTGTCGCTTTTCCGGGGTCCCTGGCCCTGTAAAAATATATAAATAGGAACATATATATGTATTCATATCTATATATATGTAAATGTAGATATCTATATTGGACCGCGTCGGTTGCACCGCGTTGATTCCCCATTCTAAACAGAGAATGGACTTGACCCCCCCGGACTTAACGCTTCCCCCTGGGATAATATAGTTTCATATGTATATGTATGTATGCATGTGTGTATGTATATATATATATATATATATATATATATGTTTATATTTTATTTATTCTGCACGTTCGTCCATCCTAAATATGAAACCGTACCATCCCAGGCAGGCCATTTTTTGTTTTGTTTCTATACATACATATAATATATATATATATATATATAATATATATATATATATTATATATATATATATTTATACATATATATATATAAAACTATGCGGTGACAATTTTTGTTCTAACATAGCACTTTTTTCCCGAATCCCTTGCAAACGACGAGACGAAGTGCACACGCGCGCGTCGTCGCGCGCGCATGCCGAAATCCTTCAAAAAACCTCGGTGTCGGACGGATTTCGCAATCGAGATCCCCAAAAACATGCAACAACACATGGCTTCGCAACACTGATTTGCTAAAAAAACTTCCGCGCGGACTCTTGCGAAATCTTAAGAAAACCATAAGTGTTTCAAGATTTTCACAAAATGCTACCAAACGGGCTTCGCGCGCGCGCATGCCGAAATCAGTCGAACGCCCTGGCGCGTGTGCCGTCGCGAGAATCCTCTGCAACAGATGGGACGAAGTGCAGACGCGCGCGTGGTCGCGCGCGTACGCCGAAATCCTTCAAAACCCATCGGTTTCGGAAGGATTTCGAAATCGCGCTTCCAAAAAACCTACAAACACCCAAGGTTTCGCAACACGGATTTTCAACAAAAGCGTGCGCGCGCGCTCTTGCGTCGTCGTCGTCGTCGTCGCCGTCCTCCCTCCTCCCGCGTCGTGATCGTCGTCGTCGTCGCCTACGTCGTCCTCTGTCTTTCCTCGTGTCCGTCGTCGTCGTCCTCTTTGGCGTCGTGGTCGTTTCCGTCGTCGATGTCGCCGTGGTCGTCCTTCCTGCTCCTCCCTCGTCGCCGTCGTCGTCGTCGTCGTCCGTCGTCGGCGTCTCGTCGTCGTCCCTCCTACTTCGTCGCCGTCGTCGTCGTCGTCGTCGTCGTTGTCGTCGTCGTCGTCTTCCCTCCTCCCTCGTCGTTGCCGTCGTCGGCGTCGCCGTCCTTCCTCCTTCTTTTTCGTTCGCGTCGTCGCCGTCCTCCCTCCTCCCTCGTCGTTGTCGTCGTTGTCGCCGTTGTCGCCGTCGTCGTCTTCCCTCCTCCCTCGTCGTCGTCTTCGTTTGCGACGTCGTCGTCGTCTTCGTCGTCGTCGGCGCCGGCGTCGGCGTCGTCGTCGTCTTCGCCGTCGTTGTCGGCGTCGTCGTCGTCGCCGCCGACGTCGTCGTCGTCGGCGTCGTTGACGTCGTCGTCGTCGTCGGCGTCGTCGCTGTCGTCGTCGTCGGCGTCGTCATCGTCGTCGTCGTTGTCATCGTCGTCGTCGTCGGCGTCGGCGTCGTCGTCGTCGGTGTCGTCGTCGTCGTCGTTGTCGGCGTCGTCGAAGTCGTTGGAGACGCCGCCGGTGTCGTCGTAATTAGTCGTTGTCGGCGGCGGCGTCGTCGTCGTTGTCGCTGTCGTCGTCGGCGTCGCTGTCGTTGGCAAGTGCCATGTGGTACCCACCGTCACGGTCTTCAGAGATTTTGCGAACCAAGTTGCGGGTGGGTGGGTGGGATGTTTGCGCGAGCAGTGGAGTGGTCAAGCGCGGTGCAGGGTAGCCAGTTGCACAAGATATACTGCACCACGCGAGCGCGCAACATGTATTGCACCACGTTGATTGTATTAGATGGAATGTACAAGTTAGATTGCTAGAGCCACACTGTTCGGGGATTGCGCGGCCCAACATTGGGGTCAATCGACTTTCTAGTCGATATCCAATTCGAATCGGGCGACGCCTGCCATACACTAGCGCCGATTTTGGCCGAACTAATTTTGAGCGACAGTTTCTTGTCGCTTTCTGTGTAACCGTACGACATGAAAGTGGCTGGCTGATAGCGCGTTCGCTCCGACGTCGTTTTCCGGCAGGGCTGCCCTCGAAGGCGTGGGTTGCACTGTGTGCCGTGTGTTCCTCGCCGTTCCTCACTGTGACACGCCCCGAAAGGGAAATACGTGATCGTTGGCGCATCCTGGGCAAGGAAGGGCCCAGGATTGGCCTGGCCAGCCGTCGCTCGTCGCGGACGCGGCCGCGGCCGCCGCGGCCCTCGTCGCCGTCATGGGCGTTGTCGCCCTCGTCGTCGTGGCCGTCGTCCGCGCCGCCGTGGCCGTCGCCGCTTTCGAGCAGGCCAAGCGCCGCGAGGAGGAGGCCAGGCAGCGGCTCGCAGACACGCGGCGGCGCCTGGAGCAGGAGGCCCAGCGGCGCCGGGCCGAGGAGGAGGCCCGCCGTCGCTCTGAGGAGGAGGCCGCGCGAAGGACGGCGGAGGACGACGAGGGCCTGCGGCGCGTGGAGCAGGATCGTTGCCGCCGTCGCCGTCTTGCTCCTCCCTTGATCAGGGGCAACGTTCGGAAGGGGGATAGGCCCACGGGGGGACGCATCGATCCCCGATCGCCCATTGATCGCCGATACGTAGTGGCCATTTAGCCCACGCCGCCCAGGAACGTTGGGATTCGCTATGGGGCGCCTACCGCCGATCAATCAGCGATGTCTCGCCGATTCCAGCTCGAGGTTTCCCCCGTGAGCCGGTGAGATCTGGGGGTCGCAGTGTTTTCACACCCCGTCAGTTTCGCCCATACATTGGGGCCCCAGGGGCCCTCGCAGGTCGGTCCTGCTGGACAGATGCCCCGCAGAAAGACGGGGTCGGTGGTTCGGGTCGTGGTTTTGGGCTGTGCTGTATTCCTGTTCGCGGCGTCGGACCTGAGGCCCCTGCCCCTCCCCACCGATCCGCGCTTCACGAGACGAACTTGTTCACTTCAGGGTTTTTGACATCCTCTGCCTCCAGAGGCCGTTTCCCCAGCCGGGGGGACCATCGAAAACGGCTCCGAATGAATAGCTGGCCCTGGGGAATTGGGCTTCTTCGCAGAAGACCTGTGTCAAGTACCACCATGCATGGCCGGGGACACCCTGGGACGGCCTCCTTGGCCGGCTTGACCTCAGCCAGGAGGGCGTGTGCGCCATCCCAGGGCCAGAGATGACCCTGGCCAGGCACCGTGGTGGTGTACCTGGACCTCTACCTGCGTATCCTCGACATTTTCCGAGCAAAACAAATTGTTTGGCCTTTCGGGGACCCCATGGCTCGGCGTCGACGTGGCTGGACGCGGTTCCGACAAAGGGCTGGAATTGAGCCCAGGAGGGGTCCAGTTATTGGCCAGTTGAGCTGATTTTGGGGTCGGCGGGGTGTGCCTGGCCAATGCCCGGGCCCAGGATTGGTGTATGGTGCCTTCCGGCCAGGAGGTCGTACGAACCGACCTTGGGCCCCAGACATCTGATACGATACCTTGTTCCCAACCATCCTGTGGTGTTGGGTCCTCGCTTCGACGAGACACCGCCCCGCGTCCACTCCTCTCCTCTCCCTGCCATCCGTGCCTCTGCCCTCCGCATGTCCATTACGGCGTACCCCTCACACGGTTAGTGGCCCCATAAGGGGAGCTTCACCGAAGGCCCAAGCGGCAAGGCTCGCATGCTTCCTCCGCACCCGTTTTGGCACACCCCTCACACGTTTCGCGGCCCCATAGGGAAAAGGCCCAAGTGGCAGTGCTCGCATGCGCCCAACAACCCCGCACCCGTTTCGGCACACCCCTCATGTTTCGTGGCCCATTGGGGGCTCAATCGAAGACCACAGTGGCAGTGCTCGCATGCGCCCCCCGCACCGATTTCGGCACACCCCTGACACGTTTCGCCGACTCCACGGGGAGCTCCACCGAAGGCCCCAGTGGCAGTGCTCGCACGCGCCCCCCGCACCCATTTCGGTACACCCCTCACCTCATATGTTTCATGGCCCCATAAGGGGAGCTCCACCGAAGGCCCCAGCGGCAGTGTTCGCATGCGTCCCCCGCACCCGTTTTGGCAAACCCCTCACACGTCTCGTGGCCCCACAGGGAGCTTCACGGAAGGCTCCAGTGGCGGTGTTCGCATGCGTCCCCCGCACCCATTCCAGCACACCCCTCACACGTCTCGTGGCCCCATAGGGAGCTCCTCCGAAGGTTCTAGTTGCGGTGGTCGCATGCGTCCCCCCGCCCATTTCGGCACACCTCTCACACATTTCGTGGCCCCATTGGGAGCTCCGCCGAAGGCCCCAGCGACAGTGCTCGCATGGAACCCGCACCCGTTTTGGCACACCGCTCACACGTTCCATTGACCTTCAGGTAGCTCCACCAAAGACAATGCTCACACTTGCGTTACGTACTTCAACTGCATATGGTGGGGTCCTTCGCCATGTTATTTTTTATATTGGGTCCCAGAAAGTTCAGACCTGCTCCCCAGGGTCGGTGTTTCATGTTCCATCTCGAGATGTTTGCGGCAGTCCTGGACCAGGGTTCGCAACGCGGCCTCTGGGCACCGAGCCCGATGAACACCCCCGTCTCATTTTGTTCAAGGCGTTGCAGGTCTGGGGTCTGGGGCCCAGAAGGGGGCCAGATCGACACGGGCTTGCGCAAGCTGGCGTGGTGGGGGGGGGGAATTGTTGACGTTTCGCGTGTCCCCAGCAGCTCCCGCGCTTCGCCACGTCTGTGGCGCACGGACCTTTGGCGCCCTGTGGCGACAAGGTCCAATTCACGTACCTGGTGATTCAGCTCCCAGTACCCGCACGTTTGCAGCTCCCTGGCAGCCCCAGCAGCTTGCAGTCCCCACCCTCGGCGCTGGTTCCCAGCCTCGGCGGTTGCAGCACGGCCCCAGCGCAGCTGCATTCCCCCGGCGGTAGGTCCTGCGTTCTTCTGCGCGCGCGCCGGCAATTAGGTTCGCTCGTAGCCCGAGCCGACTCGACCCGCTGCGGGCGCCTTCGCTTGTGGCTGCGACCGAAAATAATCCCCACCAGCCTTGGTCGGTATCGCGGCTCCTCGCGCGCCGCCGCCTGCACCGATTCAGCGCTTCGCTACCGGCGCGGCCCGCCCCAGCACGCTCGGCGTTCGACTCGTTTCGCGCGCCGGCTAACCAAGAAGTGTCCCCGCCAGCCCATCCAGAAACGATGCCCAGGGGAGTTGAGGTGACCAGGGAAGTGGGGGAGCATGCAGAAGAGTAAGGGGCGGGGGACGCCGTCCGACACCCCAAGAGCGGGAGGATGGTGGAGGAGCAGGAGGAGGAGGAGAAGGAGACAGAGGGTGAAGAGGAGGAGGAAGGAGGAATAGAGTGGACGAGGAGGAGAAGGAGGAGGAGGAAGAGGAGGGTCACCTTGTCGAGCCCAGGGTCGTCGGCATCCTCTTGAGGCCTCTGGCTGGACGCCTCTTGGGGGCGTCTGGGAACCCCTTGGGGCGCCCTTGGGAGCGTGAGGGGCGGTCTCGAAGCCATCTTGGAGGACATCGATCAAAAACGAGGGGAGCTTCAATTTGCCTCTCTGCTCGGGAGCCCCACAAGTTGCCTTTTGGTGCGCTCTTGGGTCGCTCTTGGAGCGCTCTTGGGCGCTCTTGGTGCCGTCTTGGGGCTGTTTTGGGCCTCTCTTGGGGCCCTCTTGGGCCATTGTGGGGCCATCTTGAGGCCTCGGATGGCTATCGGAATCGAAAAGGCGAGAACGCACATATCATTGATTTGCCGTTGGTTTTTGAAGGATTTTGGCCTCTTGGGGAACTCCTTGGAGGTCTCGGATGCCTCTGGGAGCCGCCTTGGAGCGTTTTTGGGGATTATTGGAGGATCTTGAGAGCCATCTTGAGGCATCATGCGCTATCTTGAGCCATCTTGGAGGTCATCTTGGGCTTCCCGAGGCCCTCTTGGAGCCGTCCTGGGCCATCTTTGACGCTCCAACTACTCGCGGCCCCCACAGTCCAGGTCCAGGGGAGGGGGTAGCGGGGAGGGGTCAAGCTTCCCACCCGCCCGCAAGCCGTCTTGCTCATTCCCACCCGCAGAATACCCCAAGTGGGGGAGGATGGAGGAGGAATCGGAGGAGGAGGAGGAGTAGGAAGAGGGGGAGGGGACAAGCTAGGTGCGCTCGCGTCATATCTGACGTCCTACCCCATCCCTCCCGTTCGTTGCCATGGTAGAGCACGGCACGGCATGGCGCAGAAGAGCACGGCAGAGCAAAACATGCCATAGCATGGCGTGGCATTGCGCAGTGACGCATTGCATCTCAACGCATTGCAATGCAAAGCATGGCATCGCACAACGGCGCAGAACACAACACCGCATATTATGAGATGGCATGCCGCCAGGTTCCTTGGAGGGTAAGTTGATCGTCTTCGAGAGGTCTGGGCCCGTCTTGAGTCGTGGCTGCATATCTAGCTCCTTCGGCGTCCCGAAAAGCTACACACAAGGTGGGGCTGATGGAGAGCACCCGCTGGCCCTGCTTCCTTCATCGAAGCAGAAACGGGGCTCCCGCTTGATACTTACTGAAAACGGCGACGCCCAAAAGTGGGGCCCAAGAACCAAAGAATCGGCACCGAATGTGTAAGCACTTCTGATGTTTTTCCCAACCCTCCTTGGTTGGGTATTCGTTTTGAATAGAGCAGTGTGGTCGCGTCCCTTCTCCTCCCGCCTCTTCCTGTCTTGCCTGCGGGGGGCTGCGATCTGCGAAACTGTCGCCATTTTCGAGGCCTGCTGGGGGGCCCAGCACAGTGAGGGCCACGCGCGGATTCAAATTAGACCTCGCCATCCCTGGGGGGCTGCGATCTGCGAAACTGTCGCCATTTTCGAGGCCTGCTGGGGGGCCCAGCACAGTGAGGGCCACGCGCGGATTCAAATTAGACCTCGCCATCCCTGGGGGGCTGCGATCTGCGAAACTGTCGCCATTTTCGAGGCCTGCTGGGGGGCCCAGCACAGTGAGGGCCACGCGCGGATTCAAATTAGACCTCGCCATCCCTGGGGGGCTGCGATCTGCGAAACTGTCGCCATTTTCGAGGCCTGCTGGGGGGCCCAGCACAGTGAGGGCCACGGGCGGATTCAAATTAGACCTCGCCATCCCTGGGGGGCTGCGATCTGCGAAACTGTCGCCATTTTCGAGGCCTGCGCCAGATTCAAATTAGACCTCGCCATCCCTGGGGGGCTGCGATCTGCGAAACTGTCGCCATTTTCGAGGCCTGCTGGGGGGCCCAGCACAGTGAGGGCCACGCGCGGATTCAAATTAGACCTCGCCATCCCTGGGGGGCTGCGATCTGCGAAACTGTCGCCATTTTCGAGGCCTGCTGGGGGGCCCAGCACAGTGAGGGCCACGCGCGGATTCAAATTAGACCTCGCCATCCCTGGGGGGCTGCGATCTGCGAAACTGTCGCCATTTTCGAGGCCTGCTGGGGGGCCCAGCACAGTGAGGGCCACGCGCGGATTCAAATTAGACCTCGCCATCCCTGGGGGGCTGCGATCTGCGAAACTGTCGCCATTTTCGAGGCCTGCTGGGGGGCCCAGCACAGTGAGGGCCACGCGCGGATTCAAATTAGACCTCGCCATCCCTGGGGGGCTGCGATCTGCGAAACTGTCGCCATTTTCGAGGCCTGCTGGGGGGCCCAGCACAGTGAGGGCCACGCGCGGATTCAAATTAGACCTCGCCATCCCTGGGGGGCTGCGATCTGCGAAACTGTCGCCATTTTCGAGGCCTGCTGGGGGGCCCAGCACAGTGAGGGCCACGCGCGGATTCAAATTAGACCTCGCCATCCCTGGGGGGCTGCGATCTGCGAAACTGTCGCCATTTTCGAGGCCTGCTGGGGGGCCCAGCACAGTGAGGGCCACGCGCGGATTCAAATTAGACCTCGCCATCCCTGGGGGGCTGCGATCTGCGAAACTGCCGCCATTTTCGAGGCCTGCTGGGGGGCCCAGCACAGTGAGGGCCACGGGCAGATTCAAATGAGACCTCGCCATCCCTGCGGGGCTGCGATCTGTGAACCTGTCGCCACTTTCGAGGCCTGCTGTGATCCCCGTTTTCGAAGTGGCTAGGAGTGCTCAGGAATTGTAAATCATCAGCTTTATCAAGCCCTTTTCCTGTAGCCAGTGTCCTGCGAGTCTCCCGAATTCCGTCTGCAGACATATGTAACCCTCGCTCCGTCATCGCCCCCTTATAAAGTATCCTAAACTATTTGCGCCCCGCTTTTGCGCAGGGGTTGGGTACGTCGCCAGGGTAATTTTTTGGGGGGGCATTCTGTTGATTTTGGGGCTTATTTTGAACGAGCGAGAACACCCGCGCTGCAGCAGGAACACGATTTGGAACAACCAGTGGCGCAGAAATGGGGCCAGCGAAAGCCAAACTCCTGGGAACCTTGTGTGTACAAAACACTACGTGGAGGGGGGGCAGACATCCTCCGGACGTCATCAGGGGAGCAAGGAGAGTAGTATTTCCCAACCCTCCTTGGTTGGGTATTCGTTTTGAATAGAGCAGTGTGGTCTCCACTCCTTCCTTCCTCATCCTCCTCCCTCCCTGCCTCTTCCTGTCTTGCCTGCGAGGGGCTGCGATCTGTGAAACTGTCGCCATTTTCGAGGCCTGCTGGGGGGCCCAGCACAGTGAGGCCGACGCGCAGATTCAAATTAGACCTCGCCATCCCTGGGGGGCTGCGATCTGTGAAACTGTCGCCATTTTCGAGGCCTGCTGGGGGGCCCAGCACAGTGAGGGCGACGCGCAGATTCAAATTAGACCTCGCCATCCCTGGGGGGGCTGCGATCTGTGAAACTGTCGCCATTTTCGAGGCCTGCTGGGGGGCTCAGCACAGTGAGGGCGACGCGCGGATTCAAATTAGACCTCGCCATCCCTGGGGGGCTGCGATCTGTGAAACTGTCGCCACTTTCGAGGCCTGCTGGGGGGCCCAGCACAGTGAGGGCCACGCGCAGATTCAAATTAGACCTCGCCATCCCTGGGGGGCTGCGATCTGTGAAACTGTCGCCATTTTCGAGGCCTGCTGGGGGGCCCAGCACAGTGAGGGCCACGCGCGGATTCAAATTAGACCTCGCCATCCCTGGGGGGCTGCGATCTGTGAAACTGTCGCCATTTTCGAGGCCTGCTGGGGGGCCCAGCACAGTGAGGGCCACGCGCGGATTCAAATTAGACCTCGCCATCCCTGGGGGGCTGCGATCTGCGAAACTGTCGCCATTTTCGAGGCCTGCTGGGGGGCCCAGCACAGTGAGGGCCACGGGCGGATTCAAATTAGACCTCGCCATCCCTGGGGGGGCTGCGATCTGTGAAACTGTCGCCATTTTCGAGGCCTGCTGGGGGGCCCAGCACAGTGACGCCACGGGCAGATTCAAATTAGACCTCGCCATCCCTGGGGGGCTGCGATCTGTGAAACTGTCGCCACTTTCGAGGCCTGCTGGGGGGCCCAGCACAGTGACGCCACGGGCAGATTCAAATGAGACCTCGCCATCCCTGGGGGGCTGCGATCTGTGAAACTGTCGCCACTTTCGAGGCCTGCTGGGGGGCCCAGCACAGTGACGCCACGCGCGGACCCAAATGAGACCTCGCCATCCCTGCGGGGCTGCGATCTGTGAAACTGTCGCCACTTTCGAGGCCTGCTGTGATCCCCGTTTTCGAAGTGGCTAGGAGTGCTCAGGAATTGTAAATCATCAGCTTTATCAAGCCCTTTTCCTGTAGCCAGTGTCCTGCGAGTCTCCCGAATTCCGTCTGCAGACATATGTAACCCTCGCTCCGTCATCGCCCCCTTATAAAGTATCCTAAACTATTTGCGCCCCGCTTTTGCGCAGGGGTTGGGTACGTCGCCAGGGTAATTATTTATATGGTGTGATTGTGGAGGGAAGGAGGGAGGAGGAGGAAGAGGAGGATGATGATGAAGAGGAACAGGCGGATGAGAAGGATGAGGAGGAATAGACGGATGAGGAAGAGGAGAAGGATGCTGCTCATGATGATGTTGACGATGGTGACGATGATGAGGAGGAGGAGGAGGAGGATGCTGATGAGGATGAGGATCATGAGTATGATTATTTTGATTATGATCATTATGTTATTGATGACGATGCTGATGATGCTGATGATGATGATGCTGATGATGATGATGATGATGATGATGATGATGATATGTATTGTCATGGTGATGGTGATGTTGATTTTGATGGGGTGGAGCGGTGCTGCTACTGAATAATGATGCGGATGATTAGGATGCTGATGATGACGACGACTCCGATGATGATGCTGCTGATGATGATGATGATGGTGGTGGTGGTGAGGATGATGATGATGATGATGATGATGATGATGATGATGATGATGCTGCTGCTGCTGCTGCTGATGATGATGATGATGATGATGATGATGATGATGATGATGATGATGATGAGGATGATGATGATGATGATGATTGATGATGATGATGATGATGATGATGATGATGATGATGATGATGATGATGATGATGATGATGATGATGATGATGATGATGATGATGATGATGGTGGTGGTGGTGGTGGTGGTGGTGGTGGTGATGGATGATGAGGAGAGGAGGAGGAGGAGGAGGAGGAGGAGGAGGAGGAGGAGGAGGAGGAGGAGGAGGGGGAGGAGGCGGAGCAGGAGCGGGAGGGCGAGCAGAAAGGCCGGAGGCCTCTCGGATGCCTCTCGAAGTCTTTTCGGATGTGTTTGGAGAGATTCTTGGAGTCTTCTTGGGGCGTCTTGGGGGCTTTGGGCGGCCTCGTGGGCGTCTTGGAGCGTGTTGGACTCCTCAGGGGAGCATCTTGGGGCATCTTGGGGGTCTCGAGAGCCTCTTGAGGACCTCTTGGGGGCTTCTCGGGGCCTCCTGGGCACCTCTGAGGGCCCTCTCGGGGCACTCTTGGAAGCAAGCCTCGGAGGCCATCTTTGGGCCATCTAGGAGGAAATCAATCAAAGAAGGGGGGGGGCCCCCGCAGGACCCTAGGAGGCCAACATGTGACCAAAATCGTTGTAAAATCTGTTAAGTTGGCGGTCGCCCCCCCCCCCCCCCCAGGAGGCGGCGCGGAGGCGCGTGGAGGAGGAGGTGCGCAGGCGCGTCGCGGAGGAGAAGCGGCGCCTCGAGGGGCAGTCCAGGCTCCACGCGGAGGAGGTCCAGAGGACCGCCCACGAGGACACCGCGAGCAGCACCGCACAGAAGTCATGCGCCCACCTGCGCGGCGGCAGGGGAAGGAGGAGGAGGAGAGAAGGGAGGAGGAACGAAGGGAGGAGGAGGAGGAGGATGAGGAGGAGGAGGAGGAGGAGGAGGAGGAAAGGAAGCGAAAAGGATGAGAAAAGGAGGGGGGACTCCGCGGCAGGGTCCGCCTCGATCGGCCTGATGCCGTTCGATCCCAATGTTCCGACGATGCGGCGCGGCCTGATGCTTGCAGGGCCGCACCGTTGTGCATAGGGCGCAACCGGTCCGATTTCGGTTTCGGCTCCATGCCGATGTGGCCCGATACAGCCCACATGTCCACTCGGTCCGATTATCTTAAGCTTACGCCACACCGCCGACCCCTTTGCTTTTTGGGGGGGCTTCCTGGGGGTCCCTGGGGCACGTTGGGGGCGTCTTGGAGCCGAAGGTTCGGAGTGTCCGTTCCGGTTCTCCGTCCGGCTGACTGGGAGTCTCTCTGTCCGTCTTGGAGCTCTCTTGGTGGTCCTTTTGCCGTTTTGGAGCCCTCCTGGTGTCAAAAGGCGAACCTGCTGAAAATATATGTTTTTCGCTATTTGTGCTTGGGGTCTTCTGGGGAAGCCTCTTGGAGGCCTAAGGGTTCCAGCCCAGGGCCGCTCCCGTGGTCCATCCGGTGCAGTTCTTCATCTCCGATCGATCTCCGACGGTCCTGGGGTCTCGTAGGGCAATACCGGAACAACCATCCGGACAACCATCGGGACAACCATCGGGAGAACCCCATGCACGACATGAACCGACACCGTAACCGATTTCTTGGTTGGGGGCACTTGTGGTCAGACCCCCCTAACCTTCGATCTGTTGCGTTCGGGCCATCCCGCCATCGTGCCTGGTTCGTGGGTCCGAGGCCGCCCTGATGGGTCATGGGGTCCCGTGGCATGTCTTTCGGGGCTTGTGGCAACGTGGCAACGTGGCTGGGTTGCCTCTTCAGCACCTGGAGTCTGCTTGGGGGCTTCCCAGGTTGTTCTGGGACGGCTTTGAGAGGCTCCGAGGCTGTCTAGGACGTTATAAGAGCCCTGAGTGGCCTCCTGGGAGCCTTTAGGGGCGGACGGCTGGAATGTTCGTTTCGTGGTTCCCCTTTCGGACCCCTCTGGGGGCCGTCTTGGAGCCCTTTTGGGTCGTTTTGGGCGCATCTTGTGCCGTGTTGGGGGCTTCTTGGGAGCCTATGGGGCCGTCGGGAGGGGGAAGCATCTCACTTAGGCGTCATTGAAAGATCTTTCGGCGTCTCGGGGCCCTCTTGGACCGTCTTGGGCGCCTCTTGGGCGGCCCCAGAAGCTGTCGTGGACCTCCACCTCCAACAAAAGGAGCCTGGGAAGGGCCGGATCCCCCTGATGAGCTCGGGCCGGACGGCCCACCCCCTCCAAATCGACCGGACCGGGCTCCAGGGGGAGGGGTTTGGGGAGGGGGAAGCATCTCACACGCCGATGATCCCCATTGGGGAAGCGGATTTCTCGATTCTATGCAGAGTGATCTTGCTGCGGCCTGCGGCTTGCTTCATCCTCAATCGCCCTCGATCTTGATCTGTCATCCTCCTCTTAGCGTCAGACCGCTTCTGTGCAACAGGACTCCAGGAGTTGTTTTTTGGTTGCTCATCTTTCCGCCGTGGAGTTATAGCTGTAGTGTGTTCAGAGCGTCAAAGGCGTGTTTTGTCAACGTCGTTCTCTATATATGTTCTGTCCTTCTGCATGATCGTTCTCTCCCCTCTCCCCCCTTTTGGTCCATTCCCTCACCTTCTCCTTCTCCACCCGTCTTCCTCCTTCCTATCTTCCTCCTTACTCCTTACTCATCCGTTCTTCTCCACCACCCTCCTCTACCCTCCTCCCCTTCACTGTCCTACTCTCCCTCCACCCCCTCCTTCCCCACCAACTCTCTCCTTTTCACCCTTCTTATCCCCCCTTCCCGAGGCTTTCAGAAGGCTGCTGTCGCTGGGGCTGCGGAGACTTGTCTCGCAGGGTCAGGATGGATGACTAGGATCAAGAGTTATATATATATGTATATACATACATATAACGACATGGGAGGACGAGGAGGACGACAAAGACGGGGACGCGGAGGAAGAACATGAGGAGAAAGAGGTGGCGGAGGAGGGGTGATCACAAGAAGGATGACGACGAGGGAGGGAGGCGGAGGAGAGTAGGACAAACTGAGTAGGAAGGGCATGACACGAGGTAGGTGGTAGTAGGTATTCTCTTTTGCTTTGATTTGATCGAGCTCTTCTTCGGCGATCGCCTCCCTGAGGATGCCAAGAGGATGTTAGAGGCGGACTTCAAGGCTGCTTCTTGATTTCTATGATTCATGCGCAGTGAATCGCCAAGATGTCATTGAACACCTGTTAGGTTGCAAGCTGTCTTCGTGGAAGCAAGCGTTGCCCAGTACGTGTTCATGTTTGTCCGCCAGGGGGAGGTCTGTGACCGTCGATACATACACATAGACGCATACATGTCTACATGACATCTCTCCGAGCGGCTTCTGTCCCCAGGAGACGCCCAAATCATTTGCCAGCCGTCTTCGGACTCCGCAGTCATCTTGGGTTCAGAAGGAGGGCGCGGTCGCCCTCCTAGGTTCAAGGGGTCCGGCGGGTTCGGCGGCAGCCCCTGGGGCTGTGCCCGCCCGGACCCTCCTTCGCCACCTGACTTCGCCTGCTGGTGGCCCCCTCGGCGCTCGGGGCGCCAGCAGGAGATGCCGACTGGCTGGACGCCGGGGGCCGAGGGTCGCGCGCGAAGCGCACGGACGCGCCCCCAGCGGAGGCAGGGCCTCACGTTCCAGGTCTGTGGATCATTTCCGAGCTGCCGCCCGACGCGCTGCAGGGGCTGGAGTTCAGGCCCGGGGACCTGCTCCGGGTCGGCGCCCCGGAAGCCGACTGGGCCTCGCAGGGCTCGGAGGTGGTCCGCTTGCTGACCCCTGCTTCGGTCGAGGACCACGGCCTGCTCGTCGAGTTCGAGGGCCTCGGGGCGTCGGACGCGCACTTCGAGGTGGCGCGCCAGGGCGCGCGGCGCGGCCGGGGCGCCTGCGGAGCACGCGCCGCTGCATGCATGTGCTGCTCCTGCGCGGGCGTGCCCTACGCTGCCACCAGCAGGCTGGGAGATCGAGCGCGTGAACGAAGAGCACAAAGGCGAGCGCGCTCCCGATTCTGGGCGGTCGCGGACGGCGCGTGCCTTCATTCAGTGAAGTCGTCGCCGAGGCAGCGTTGCACTTGACTTTTCCCAACTTCATCTAGACCGCTGGTGTCCTCCAGTTTCTCCAACGTGCCGTATTGCGCCAGTTGGGCCAAGTATTCGCGCGGCAAGCCGAAAGCGGCCCATCCCTTCTGCTCGCAGCTGTGCCTCTTGCCCACAAACTGCCTCGAAGAAATCGCCTCCGCAGCCTCCTGGATACATTGCCGCCGACGTTTGTCCACTAGGTGACGTCCTTCTTGTCCGCTCCTCGGTGGCTGGTCAAGTCGCCCACTCCTCGGTGGCCTCCCGCGCTGGCGTCGTCTGGGGGCGACTGGGCCTGGGAGTAGGTGTGCGCATTGGTCGTCACCAGCGTGCCCACGTTTGCCCTCAACCTCCTGTCATGAGGAAGTGACTCAGCATCATCATGGCGCTTGCGTTTGCCAAAGATTTTCGCCTTCGGAAGTTCTGGGGACCTCGAGCCGCAAAGCCGCTGCGGACGACATCGTTGACAACGGGCCGGCATCGGCGGCCCTCCTGCACAGGACGGTAATGCGATTACGATGGGTTTTCAGCAGCGCAGCAGCAGCGGACTCGCCTTTCAGGCATGCGGCTGCACCAATAAAGCCAGCGAGGGCCACCAGGATATGTAGAAACACGTATGTGGACAACAACCCCTTGATCTATAGTCCTCCTGTTGTTCCTCCCCCTCATTCCCCTTCTCTTCCCTTCTCCCCCTTCGCCCCTCCTATCTGCGCGTGCCAGAACCTCGCGCGTGCTCGAGGAGCTCGGAATACGCGCGCTCGCAAGATTTCGACCCTGTCAGGTGGCGTTCGAGCATTTCCTTCGCGTCGGCAAGCTGCCTCTGGAGAGCGTGCAGCTCCTTCGTGTCCATGGTGCACGCTTGCTCTGCCATTGCGATATTGCTTTTGCATTCGGCCACGAAGCTACCGAGGACATTCCTCGACCTCCTGCGAGTAATCCGATCACAACCTCTTCTTATTGTCCTTCTTGGAAGCCTTGTCTTTCGCCGTCAGCTGGCTCCTGCATTCGCGCAGTGACATATGGAGCTTATGCAGCCCAGACAAATCATTCCTGGAACGGAACAACAAAACACCCGATCAACCCCCCCTCCCGCCGCTCCTTGCCGCCACGTCTGGCCCAGGGGGCGGCGGAACGGGGGGACGGGGGCGATTGTCTTCTCCCCCTTCGGTCTTAAGAATTCTTTGCCGCCTCAACCTCGGGGATCAGCGGGCGTTCGTCCTTCACCTCCGTTCTCGACTCGGACGACGAGGCTGGCAGTCCGGATGGCGCGCCCATTGCGTCGCTTACGTTCACGAGGTGCGAGCCGCTTTTCGCACCTGCGACGCCATAGATCTTCTTGGATTACTTTTGCGTCCAAGATTTGTTGTGCCCTTCATCCTCGACGAAGGAAGTCTTGGTCAATTCCGCATTCGTGTCATGAGTTGCAGGTGGGTGCGATCGAGGAGGATCGAGGAGGAGGAGGAGGAGGAGGAGGAGGAGGAGGATAGAGGAGGAGGATCGAGGAGGAGGAGGAGGAGGAGGAGGAGGTGGAGAGGGAGGACGATCAGGAGGACGAGGACAGCAAGAAGAAGGAGGAAGAGGAGAATGGAGGCGGAGAAGGACCAACGAGGGCGGCAGGGGTCTGCGGAGGGGGAAAGGGAGGGAGCGGCGGCGGCACTGGGCGGGGGGCGCCAGGCCCGCGAGGACACGAGGCTGCAGCAGGAGGAGCGGGAAGCCAAGGCGAGAGCCCAGGAGCGCCCCCCACCCCGGCCGACAGAGGTTCAGAAGATTCGGGGGTGGACAGAAACCCCAACAGTGACACGTCGATTAGTGAATTGTCCGTTTTCGGTTCTCGAGATGGCGCCGTGGCCGTTATTTTCCAGGCTTGCGCCCGCCAGGTTTGGGCCTCAGGTCGCTTTCACTAAACCACGTTTTACTAAAGGGTGGTCTGTCCATCCCCGAAAGATCATCGATGGATGGCGATATACAGTCGGGTCGCTGTTTCAGGAGGAGCTCTGGTTTTCGGGCCGATTCCTCGATGTATAAGTCGGGGGCCTTTTGTTGTTCGTGGCCGCGGCTCGCCGCAGCCAGGAAAGGCCCGTCGTTCCTTTCTCTGCCTTCCCTCTGGTGGCACGATGGCTCTAGTCGAAAATGGGGTTCCGCCCCTGGGGGGCCCATTTGGGGCCCTGCGGGGGCCCGCTTCGGGCCCTGGATGCCGTCAGATATCCATCATGGTGGAGAGGTGGATGGGATGGACTCCAGGAGGGGTTGGTCGACAGGGTGCTTCTGCCGCTGGGGGGCCGGTTCGGGCCCTGAGGGTCCCAATAGGGCCCTCGGAGGAGTCAGAAATCCATTTGGGATGGAGGGGCCTATTTTTGAGCGGGTGTGTGTCGAAAGAGCCAGATCTTCTCCCTCTTCCCTCTGTCCCTGCGGCATGCGCCAAGATCTCATCCTCTCTGTTCCGTTCCCGTTCCCTCTCGCGAAAGCTTGTTCCCTTTCTCTCTTTCTCTCTCCCCCATGTCCCCCGCACCCCGCCGCCCTTCTCTCCCCTCCTCCCCCTCTCTCCCTCTCCTTGCCTCGCCCTCGCCATCGTTCTTCCGCTGCCCCTCCGCCCCGCCACCCCTCCCCCTCCCCCCGCCAGCGATGAGGAGCTGGACCTGGAGCAGCAGAAGCTGCGCAAGCAAATCGAGGCGCGCATTTCCTCCTTCCGCCCCTGCGGCAAATGTGGAAAAGCAATCAGCATAAATAAATATACAGGGTGGAACATACACACAAGCACACAGACACGCACACGCGCACGCGCGCACTCACGCACGCACGCACGCACGCACGCACGTACGCCCCATACACAAACACACACACACACACACACGCACATTGTTTTGCGTCGTTGGCTGGGGAGAGATTGCAACTCTGGCGATCGGACACACACACACACCCCTCCCCCCCGCACACACGCACACACATACACGCACGCACACACGCATGCACGCACGCACGCACGCACACACACACACACCCGCATTCACATGCACGTCCACACTCACTTCACATTCACATTCACTTTCACGTTCACGACGTTTACACTCACATTCACATATTTACATTCATTGTCACATTCACATTTTCACATTCACACATCAACACAAACACAACCACAAACACAAACTCAACACACACAACCACGACAACAAACACACCTACAAACACACACAAACACACAAGCACAACCACACACAACATACTCACAACCA